GCTCGGCCTGGCCTCCGAGGATGAGACGAATTTAATCTATTTACCGGCACCTGAACGGGGTGAAAGTGTCCCAAGTAAGACCCCGGGATCGGGCGGAATCTCATTTAGCTTCGAATTTCACTAACACCAAACGCCGAAAACGGGAGCAAGGTGAACGACGGGGAAGAGTAAAGGGGAGCGTCGCTCGATTATACGAGGCGATGGTAGTTAAAGCGACACCGTGTTCCCAGTGTAAACGCACTCCGACGTCTCGAAACTACTTACCGCCCCCGACGTCCCCCCTCAGTCGCTCTCTATCGGGGCCTCCACTCCTTTGTCGATCCCGGCAAACATTGTCTTGTTTGCCCCCGAGTAAAAGTTGTGTCGATTCGACACAAGCCCAAAGAATGTCTCGAGAAACCGGTCACTCCGCTGTTTTACTTATTTCAAACCCTCCCCCCTGTACAATGCCACCCAAAAGTTTAGACGTTTCGTAGAATTGGAATTCTTTTTCTTCTCCAAGTGCAGAAAATGTGATACAACGCTTTGGCCAGAACGTAATAAAAATTGCTATGTAAATTGTATAAACAAATCATCATAGAAATGTTATAAATTATCGTCTCGAATAAAAAGAAATTCCTTTGAATTAATGATTGTGCTTAAACTTTTGGTTGTTAGTGCTTTCATTCCCTTTTTTTCTTAGTCCTCTCACGGTTCGGCCTGGGGAAAAGAGTATTCATTGTCCACTCGCGGACTTGTCGAGCTTTCGGACAGAAAGGGGGAATAGAAGGGTTGGGAGATTGATTGTGAGTCTAGCAGGCGGAGATCTTTCTGGCCCTTTCTTCTTGTTGCTCTTCGAAGGCTTGATGAATTTACGATAACGTTTATGTCCGGTCCCTTCGGACTCCTCCGATTCAATTTATTTCGTATTTCACGATCGTTCCACGCCAGTGTGCGATTCAGAGTGCATAGAATATCTGGCAGATGCAACAAGTACAATATAAGATTGTTACGAATTTTTTCTATCACTGTCATTGCATAGTAAATGCATATTTAATTCCATAAGAATTCGTTAGTAACGTGTCATTGATATTGCATAATTAAATATTGAATTTGGTGTATGAATAAATGAAAGCAGAAACAGAATTGGAAATAACGATTATTTGAATTTTTAATTAAATGAACAGGGGAGAGTTTCGAGTACCGCTGATTGTAATTAGAAATTTTCGCCTTTGGATCTGAGAACACCGCCTTGTGAATTGTTCATCATGTTTTGCCTCGCATGCATGGGATAAATTGCAACGCGTGAGGTCGTATTTCTTGAAAGGATGCTTACTATTTAATGAACCAGTGTATAATAACACGAACAGTATTAATCAGGAGTATACAACTTTTAGAAGCTCAATGGAGTGATGTGTGAAGGAATAAGTTCACAGACGAAGGATTTAATTTGTTATTTTAATTAACGTGTTGTAATACTACATTTGTCTGAATTATTGTACCGAGAGAAACATGAAAGTCGCAGTATAGGTTCCATTGGTTTAGGATTAAAAAGGATGCGAGATAATATATCACGAGTTCTATTATTTTGCAACAGGAGCGATCCTCTCCGCGCTACTTTCCTCCGCAAATAAGAGCGATTTTTCAAGCGAGCCGCACGTGCACAGAGAAAACGGCGGGACAGTGTACCTTCCCGAAGACAGAACGTATGAGTAATTCAAGTACGTATATTTCGATCTGGCTGCTACACCGCGAAAATAAAAGGTTCATATTTTCAGCTCTGCTTGCACGTCCCCGCTATTTGTATACCTCCTACCTCCGTTCGTCCCCCCCGCTCGTCTCCGTGGCAGTCTGCGTCTTTTCCCGTGCAATATGCATGCGTTCTGAAACGTATCTCGCCGAGCTTTTCTACTTTTCCGATTATTAAATATTAATATACCGCGCGCTGTATGGATTTTTCGATTCGCGAATACCCAGCAAATAGATACTGAAAGAAAACTCCTCTATCGTATTTTTATACCTTCGGTCGTGGAATATTAAAAGCTACGACTCTTTGTTCGGGTGGGATTTCTTTATTTTATTTAACACGTAATGGAAATGTCTTTTAATATTATTATATTAATAATAAAATTCACCGAGGTTTAGGAATAGAACTCAGGAATTCACGAGATTTATTTAAATGATCTCAATATATTTCATGATTGTTAACAAGGAATAAATGAGATTTAAGGAGGGACGATGGTAAATGTTTTATTTCAAAATTATACATACATAAAAATAAATCACAGATATAAATCATATAAGTAATAAAATTATAAATGATATAAGAAGGGAATATGGTAAATACTTAATTCCAAAATTAAACATACATAAAAATAAATTGTGGAGTTCTTGTTAAATCATGTGTAATGAAATCATAAATGATAATTGCAAATGCCTGGTTTCTCGTTCAATTGAACATATGAACAGTCATAGAACGCTTGTGGCATGATCATATGAAGTCATTCAACTGAATGATTACAGTATTAATATGAACTACGTATTATTACGAAGTACAATAGTTACACGTAGTTGAACATTTCCGTACGAAATTATACGAGAAGCCAACGATGACTAATTTCAAGCAAAGAGAAATGCAAGCTGTTGCATACGTAATAAATAATTAATTATATAACCAGAAACGGGGGAGATTTTTCTATAGAAATTTCGTTACTTCTGACGGAAGTCTTAATCGATTGAAGGGACCGCGAGTGATCCGGTGATCAGTGGATAAATTTGCGGTGACGCTGAGAGAAATTTCAAGGGTTCGTCTCTATTCCCCGAACCTCCTTATCTTGATTTAACGCAGAACGGTTTGATCCGAGATTGGACCGCGGTATTTCCAATTTTCCCGCGATTGCCGTTGCTTTTTTGCGCTCCTCTACCGGCAATTTAGGATCTCCTTCTTGTCGTATCAGCAAATTAGATTCCACCGCCGCTTTAAACCGTCTTTATTATTTCCCGTTGTTGTCCTTCTTTCATTGCAATCGACTAATCAACGTGAACTTATACGTCCCCCTTACATTCTTATCTTTGCTACAACAGTTCGGAGAATTACACGAGATTATTTTGCGATCTTATATACGGAGGATAAAAATGTGACGGATATTATATATTAAATTTGGATTTATATATTAAATTTGAATATTAATCGAAAGATAATGTTTTCCCATTTCTTGGTTGGTTGATAAAATCGTTCGAAGGAAATATAATAAAGGAGTATTAATCCCGGAAGAAAAGGCGAAGCAGCAGCGTTTTCCGAAGGTTTAGTACTTCAACAAATATTTGTATGGGAGATTTTCGGGGATAGTTTGAGAGTCGATGTGGCATGAATGGGGACCGAAAAATGATAAAGACGGTTCCCGATAGACCTTCCATATTTCCTGGGGCGAATGGTATTTGAGATCGAACGAAGTTATCGTTCAAACCGGAATAAGGGCCAATAGTCTATAACAGGTAATATTACAGACGTAATTTCCTCTCCTCGGCGTTTCCCTCGGCAAACTCGCAACTCAGTGAGGGAGGGCGGATTTCCAAGGAGATGAGGAGATAACGCAAATTTACTGTCCGCCTGTTTTCGATTCTCTCTCTCACTCTCTTTCTCTTTCTCTCTCGCTCGTTCTGCGCGGCCGGCTATTCTTACGGGATTTAACTTTGTTTTAATAAACGCGGTTGAAGTTCCATTGCGGTGGCTCGACGGTTTATCAAGCACGAGAAATAATCCTTTACGGGACAATTCAGTCCTCCCTTTTCTACCCTGGCTTTTACGTCTCTCGAAAGAGCGAGGGGACACTCCCAGGCTTTATGAAGTAACACTCGCGTCCATTATTCATCAGCTTGGTAATGAAAAGTTTACGGCCACTTGTACCAGAGGACTGCGTAACATCTCGTTCTCAAAAACAGATCAATAACTGACTCTACTTTACCAAGCGTTTCTGTACAGAAAATTGTACAATATCAAGAGCTTAGTACATATTGAAATGCTTATCAAAGCTACGAGTTGGACGAGATTGGAAAAATTTTTGAGAGCAGACGCGACCGCGTGACTCCAGATTTTCTTGAAAAATTTCATAGTAACCTGTTGCACGAGCACACGTCCTCGCATCTTAAATGCGGTTGTAACTACGATTTTTATTATAATCATTTTATGCAAAAATGACTAACAATTGATAGAAACATTGAGCATTCTGATCGCGAGAAGCTTAATGGCTGAAGTAGTTTGTAACGTCCCGGAACGACCACGCGTCTGACTTATACCGAGCGGTACTACTTGCACGGTTATCTATTGTCACCCAAGTACGCGAAAACACATTTGGCCCGTTTGCTATTATCTCTACACGCCACGAACTTCCCGTTATTTATACGGGTTTTACTACGGACGAAGTTCACAATCTATGCAGTTAACAGTTGTTGCAGTCGCACCTCGGCTGACTTGCCGTACGTGTTTCTACTGATTACCCACAAGCGTAAGTACGCTTATTTTACGTCCTAGGAAAATTCAAAGAATAGTTTTAGCAACTCTGAGGGCTTATCGCGAGATCTACATTTATTCAATTTCAATATGTACTTGCTTTTGATGTATTCTGGTGAAGTTCCAATTTCTTTTCGAATGCGTGAAAGCAGCAGATTTTTAGTATCGAACTTCTTTATTAAAAGACCGAGTAGAATTTTAAATGAAAATCGATTGGACTTCCTTGTGAAGGGATAGAAACAAGACGAATCGTATGTAGATTCGCGTGCGAAACGAGGGAATGCACGGAAGCGATCCATCGCGGTTCTGTCTGAAGGGACGCAATTTTCCATGGCCCTTTCCAAGGTGCAAAGAAAATCGCACAGTGGGAAAATTTACTACCCGACTCATTTCGGCTCCCCGGGAATGAATGGACACTTGTCTGGTGGGCTTGCGGGCGAAGACGAGGAGGCCCCGGTTTATCACCGGTGACAAACGGACCGATTAAGACAGAAATAAACGCTTCACTTACCGGCGTCGCGCCCGATTCATAAAGCTTCCTCGGTGTCCATCCTGCGCCGCGCGGACGTGCCAGACATGAGAAATAATCCGTGGATTTCCCTCCGCTACCGGCTGTCCTGTACGCCAGGAATTAAACGTCCTATCTACTCGACACGGCCCTTACCCGTGAACCCTGCGATCAGAAATGAAACGCTTGTTAGCCAGTGAAATCTATTTTAACAACCTTTCCAGTTGTTCCGATTGCCATAAAGTGATCAATTATATTTTTAGTGTTTAGTTAAAAGCCATTGAAATTTCGTTACATTTTCTATTTCTTCGAGGATGAATTATTTTATTGACATCGAAATGCTTTTGGGACAAAAACACAAGTTCTCAAAAATCCTCTTAATTATTAATTACGTCGAACAGTTGTGTGAAACCGAGGAACTGAAAATTGCTTTCAATTAGAACATCAATTTCCACCTTCCTGTTTTTCCGTCGACGAATCAGATTTCGTGATTTCGTCAACGTTTCCACTAAAGAAAGGCTTTCCATGTAATTCCTAGAGCGCGAGATTCTCTCTCTCTCTCTCTCTTACACGTTTAAATTACACCGACGAATTTCTGAGACACGTGCAATTTTAACGCGTTCAAGAGGCGTCGCGTCGACGGTAACAAACTCACCGTGCCACGGCACTTTGTTACGTCCCCGTCGTCGTCGCCGTGGCGACGTGAGGAGGAGTACGACTCGAAAGTTCCGACAAAGGAACCGGCCACTCGCCAACAACGGTTCAAAACGAGCTTATAATGGGAAGTCGAAAACAATGCCCCCTCGCTCGCCATCGAATCTGTTTAGAAACTTTCAACTAAATTTCACGTTTCCTTAGCTTCTACATTATTCACTGTTAACCAAAACATATTTACAGAGAATTCTATGCAATTTTTTGTATCATACAATCGCTCTGGGTTAATTCTTTGCAAAGGAAATCCAATGATTTTGTATCCAAGGATATTAAATCTCTGCAGGAATTGTTTTTCTTTAATAAAACAGAAATGAAAGATTTAGCTGGATAACTTCAAATGATTCTGGTCTTATCGATCACGAGCAGGGGAGGTCGAAACGTCGTTTAATTACAGCAATAAAATTGATGAAATGAGATATAAACGTCTTGGCTGCAACGTTCATCTGTTAGGGAAGGAAGAAGACGTTACGAGGGGTCGTAAACCATGGAGGGATGCAAGTAGTCGTATAAGTTACGAGGCCTCTCAGCGAGCCTCGAAGGAAATTAGAACCGGACTACCGGAACGGTGTCAAAATTGCATTCGCCAGTAGCCTGCCGTGGTCGAATAAACGCATTGCGACTCGCCGTAACTCCGAACGCGTAGTAATTCCGCGTGTTACGATTCCGATGCGATTTATCTAAAACCTCGTATCCACTTGCATTCCTCGTATCACCGTTCGCCTGTCGATATTGGGTATCACAGTTACGTATCATGTTGTGTATCATCGTTACATCTGCAATCGTATACACAATCCGGTTCACATGACTTAGTACATATTAATATATTTAATGATTTATTACAATATTTCATAGTCAGTTATTTCGAGCTCGAAACTATCTTCCTATTACTTTTTTTTATGATCACGTATTGGGAAATTGATCGTGAAAATTGCATCTGTTCCTCAGTAGACTTTAAGCTCGATACGCGTATCGGGTCGATCTGGTTCGGCGTCGCGCCGAGCGTACACGCTGTCGTATGCAGCTCGGAACGCGACTCGAAAACTTGGCTGTCGTTAAGCAAATTGATATCGGTCGTCGCCGGAAAGTTTCGTGCCGCATAAGCTTCCTTTATGGCGCGGCACGAAGACCGTGAAACGTACGCGATCCGCGCGGCCGACGGAGTTTGCGTAACGCGCGGATTATTATTGGCGCGCGAACTTCCGCCCTACGTGCGGGAGTTTCCGGGCCGACGATAGAGGCGACGGGTACGGGATTCCGGATTATCCGATACCGACGACCGTGTTTCGAAATTGTTCGGACTCCGCGTAAGTTCCCACAGAGAAGCTCCTCTCGCCTTTACGCGAAATTTTCCACGTGCGGCGAAATGAAAATTGAATCGGGATCAAATGACGCACGGTTGCTCATCAATAATGACGGCCAATCTAATATTATTTTAGCTATGCAAATAAATGATACGCCGTCCGATCGATCGCTGTTCTGTTTGCCTGTGTTTTAGTAAAAACGAATCTCGCCAACGCAGGACAAATAAGCATAGCTGCTGATCAGACCGCGAATTTTTATAGAAAATATGTTATAAATTCTACAGATCTGAAATATCATTTATTATTAGACTGCGGATTTATTTTATTCTGCATAGAAATCCTATTTTTACGGTCCATTTTTATCCTCCATCGATCGGCTCATTTGATTGGTCGACTTTGATCGAGCAGTCTTGAGCTTCTTTCATTTTCGATCCAAGAAGCAATCTCGTGCTAGACACAGTAGACACATCAGTTAAGGGCACTTCGGATTTAATCCGAGCATTATCTATCAGCCATCGCGAGGTGCGATGTTACACTTTTCCCTCGTCGTGCACTTAATCAATATTGATGTTGGATCAAGTTACAATTCATTCGACGTATTCTCCGGTCGTTCTTAAACCGGCCCGAGCGACGTGCTAAGCCTGTTTTACGGCCGTGAATAAAAGCGCGAGGGCAGCCATCGTAAGACGGTGCAACTTCTTTTTTTTATTTTTCTGCTAATATTTCTTCTTTACGTGTCCATATCTCAGGCTTGTTCGCAGAGAATTCCGTCGAATTGTTCCACCCATTTCAGCTGCTTTATAATAAGAATTAATTCAATATTTAATATCATAATTGCTTTGATCCTTGATTAAATATTTAATAGGATGTTTCAAGGGATGATGGGTATATTAATTCGTATGGTAATTAATATTACATTTCGTGTAATATGTATTTATAAAACGTTGAATGCACCCAAATGATTTTCCAAGGATTTATAGTAAAATCGATGTTAATTTCAAATTTTAGTTCAGTTGTAATAATAATTAAAAAAATTGTATAATAATGCAAATAAATTGATAGCCAAGAAATGTTCGATTCGAAGTTTGGAATTAAATATGTAAAGAAACAGGAATAGGTCGTAAGTTACAATAATATAAAACCACGATTGATACATCGAATAAAATTGAACTCTACGTTTATTTGACGTGCTTACACGACCACGGTTCGTACAGAAGCGTTTTTCCAACCGGTTTCTTGGGCCATTAGGCCCCAACGTCACTATGGCTCCTTAGCAACCCTTGTTTATGGCATCTTGGCCTTGAAGAGTTTCTCCCCGTAAAAAGAGAAAGCTCCTTAACAAAATACACATGGCCCACTTCTGCTGTTACAATCGTTAAATTCTAAATTTTCTAACAAATACAAGTTGAAACTCCAGGACTTTATTAGACGGTTTAATTCTGCATGCAAGCATGTGTAATAGAAATCTGCAATTTTGCATAATAAAGAATTTTGGATAAGACGAATAAGATAAATTTAGGGTGTTCGTCGCTGAGTTAATTATGTCAATCGTCATGATTAATTCTAATGTATTCGTACAAGTAATACTAAGTACGTATTGAAAAGAGTTTTCCAATGAATTTAACAGATCCGCCGGTCGGATATCCGGTCTATTAGTGTGATGTCGAAATAGAAATCTGGTAATGTCTTTAAACGGACGTTGCGCGGCGAACAATCGGAGGGAATCTGCTCGTAACCGTATCGGAGAATCATTTCGCGACGCGAAATCAGCGCGCGTTCTCGTCCTCGGACGAGCCATTCCGGGTAAATAAAAGGTACGATTATTGGTATACCTCTATCGCGAAAACAACCGTTCCAAACCCGTAACTGTAAGTGTGTATCAGCTATTATATATTGTCTACGGTCTAAATTTCTATGTACGCGCCACCGGCAATTCGATACACGCCCGCGAGAGCCAATCATTACCGTATCGATTTGGTGCCTAATCGCGTTTCAATGGCGGAGAATCGGCGACAATGGATATAATTATGCGCTCCTCGACTCCTATTCTCGTGCAACTAATAGCCAATCGGTGTCCTCCGATACACAGACAATAATAATAAAAATAATAATAACATTTCTTACGGCAATTATCAATGGCTCATAGATTTTTATGGTAATTGATTAGAAAGTTTCAGTGATTTTTTTTTTACTGAATTTTAAATAAGAGAATGTAAACGTGAACGACTTTTTTGTTGTGAGAATTTTTATTTAACACTGATCGGAGAAATCTGGTGCAGTGAACGTAACATACGGTGAATGACACTGACTATGTTTCAATCGGCACGGTTTTGAGGATCGACGTAAAAAGTAGATAAGTTCGGATATAAATTCAGCGTACGCTTCGACAATAAAGTGAAATAGCAGTTAGGTCGACCGCTGTTAAAAAAGACACGGAAGCTACGCGGGACTCGAGGGGGTGCGGTTCATCGATCGACGAAATCGATCACGGGAATGTCCGCTCGGATCACCCCTCCCGCCTCCGATAAAAAGTTTCTCAACGACTCTTTCCTCGGTTCTACTCCACGTCTTTCCCTCTATCTTTTGTTCTTCTACAATATCTTTTATACCGCCGACCCCGTTTCCCGCCGACGGGGGTTCGTGGAACCCGTCAGCGGAAACAGCGGCCGGGAGCGAGAGGAACCAGCTGAAACATTAAATTCTAAATGAAAAGGCAGCTCGAGCAGGACTTCGGAATTCCAGGTCGCCACGGCAAAAGAAAAAAAAAAGACGTAAAAGTGAAGCCCCGTAAAACGTGGACAGAATTTCTCTCGCGTCTGATTCACGTGTTCCTATACCACTGCGTCACGAGTTCCTCAAAAGATGTACCGCAAGTAATCGCGTGCGAGGTCCACCAAAAATATTTATTACGCTACTCTCTGCTCGTTTATTTTATAGAAATTGTTCAATTATTTACACAACTAGTATAACAAAAATTAATCTTCACTTGTAAGAAGACGTAGTTCTGTCCAACGTTTTTCACAAGGCAATTCTAGAGGCCTTGGTCATAAATTACACTATTCTTACAAGGGGTCGGTTTTCCAAGATAAGGCCCGAACCGGTTTTAAGGATGTATTGGCTATACAGTCAATCCC